ATAGGGTAGGTACATGATATATATTAGTTTCCCCTTTCTGTTTTTCAATTTGCCTAAATGTAGTCATATAATCATCTATGAAACAGAATAAATATTATAATTAAGTAGACTTTGAACTTACTTAAGAAAAGTAGATTTACTAATGTTTATAACAGACACTATTTCCATAGACTTTGTACATTTCATATTGGCTCTCACTCATATTTACTGATACCATTCATAGCTCCCCTCCATTAAATTTTCTTAAGTAATTGAGTAGATGATACATATAAGAAAGATTAAATTGCCACCAAATTATCTATCTGAAAAAGAATAAAATAAAAAACAAAGATTAAAGTTACCAAGGTTAGTGAAAAGTGGATAAAGAGCCCAAGTCAGTATCCCTTCACCTGGATTATTTTGTGTTTATGTGCACATGTGTGGCACACACATATAAAGTAAAATAGTTTCTTCAAAACAGCAGTGTCCCACATAATCAAACCAAATAGACAAATGAGTTAATAATAAATAAATACATACATAAATAGACAAAAAACATTGTACGTGATATATATAAATTTCACTCTACTGGTGAAATTTCAAGAAGCTCTGGCCAGTCTTTATTGGTTTGGGATACATATGGACACATTTTATTTGTTCTCTTCTGGTTGCCTTATGAAAAATGAAGGTTCTAAATCTAACTGTCTCAAAACACTGGGATGTTGAACTCAGTTGTGAGAGAGACACAGAGTTACCACCACGCATGAGGAATTACACGTAATGCAAAAAACATTTTCTGTGCACTGCTATGTGACCTGTAAAAGTGTGGAAGTGCCCATCAGAGTGTTAAGCACGTATGTCAGGGAGGATAAAAGGTTGAGAACCCTTAACAGTTACTATGTTAAGTATCTAGATAATAAATCAGTGCTGATGGATTAGCAATGTCTTACAGAGACACATCCTATTTTAGTTAAAATGATTTAGAGTATTTCTTCACCCTAGAAACTGTAATCCTATAGTTACTATTGAAAGTAATAATTATTTTAAGATGAGAAAACAGCTCTCTCTCGATAAGCACATGTTTAATTTAGATAGAAGTTAGGCATTAGGCATGTAGTTTTGTTTCCTAATAGATTTCTATAATTATTCTTAAAAATATGACAATACCCACTCTATTTAGTTAACAATTTAAAATTTCTAAAGAACATTATTAAATAATACAAATGTAAGAAATACTGTACATATAATGAGACAGATGTTCAACTATCATTCAACTAAAAAGTAAATTTTAGGGCATGATGTATTTAAACGTGCATTTAACACTGTATTTGCTTTACTTGCTGACACTTGCCTCCTCTATAACCTCTGGTATTTGAGTCTAAGTTAATCATACAGTGTCCCGGTGATATGGCCAAAGAATTAAACTGAATTCTATCTATCACCCTTACAAACCCCCCCACCAAGAACAAAGTCCATATCACCTGCCAGTTCATAACCCTCTGCTTTCTCTATCTCTGCCTTGCTGACAGTAAACTGCCAGCTAATTGAACAGATGCACCCAGTGCGTCTTCCCAAAGATCCACAAAGCTGGACTTTGATAGACAGCAGAAAGTGGCATGATGAGAAAACAAAAGCTTTTTAACTGAGAGCAGTGCTTTGTTCTGCTTAGAACTTTAAGGTCACTCCAGCTCATTTTGACTGCTGTGCGGATCTTAATTTTTACTCCACCAATTTACTTGCAGCTGTCATTCTTTCCAATATTAAAAGTTCAGCTTTTCAAGTATGGGGAATTGAGAGGGAGAAAAATGAGAAGAGCTTGTTACAAACTAAAAACAGCAAAAACAAGTAAAATCTGGCTTGGCTCTGAAGTATAAAAAGTTATTTTCAAAGCTTATAAATTATGACATAGTGATTAACATGTAATTTAAATATATTTAAACAACAATTATATCACATTTCCAGCCCAGCTAATTGGCCTCACAGATGTTCCCTTGGAGCTGTATTGCCCTTCCAGGGGGAAATGAATGAGGTGCTTTTTATCATGGAAAATAGATAAAAAAGCAAACTGAAAAAATGGAAACAGAAACATAAAAAGCAGCCAGTAACCCTAAAAACAATGAATGCTAAAGGGGTTTGCTTTGCATTTTTTCCATTTTAATGCTGGAAACAGGGAAAAGCATGACGACGCTCCTATTACTGTGATGCTATTTGGCTGTATGTCCAGATACAGAGCTGGCAGGTTGCTAACTGACAGACTTGTCAAAAGCAGGGACAGTGGATGTATTCTAATAGGGCATGGCCTTGCTTTACATCTTGGTACAGAATAACTGCAGGAGGTCCAGATACTTTAATACAATGCCTTTACAATTGAAGGCATTCTAGCTTATATAATGAATACAGATAATAAACTGTTTCCTGATGAAGAAGGACTTGTGTGTTATTCCTTTGATCATTTTTCTCTCAAGGTTTGTAAAATGCAAAATGTGCAATCAATACTGGTTCCTTAGCTGAACATTCTAGTCGAATGTTACCTAGTACAGCAATGCTTGCAAGGTAAGGGGTGAAAGGGACACTAGTAATCATGAATATTTTGGAATACCTTGCCTTCTAATATATAATCATAGAATGGAAATAAATTCACTCTAGCCTCATTCCACTCTTTCCTTTTCTTCTAATAATCTCAGGTAATATTTGATAGTATAGTGTAAATTCTAAAAGGTCAGTGGCTATGCCTTCCCTAGTATATTGTGATGTCTCTAGCATCTACCACCATGCTTGTGGTTCATTGTAGAGATTTAATAAATATTTGCAAAATATTTGTTGTTTAATGATGAAGGTAAGGCCAGTTGCTACATCTCTTGTACCATCCATCTATTTTATAGCTCACCGACTATATAGAAAATCCCTTTCTCAAATTTTATGAACAAATGTATTTGATTTCATGTGTTTCTAAAAGATAGCTGAATATGCCCATATTTAAGATGATTATAGAATAAGTAAACATTTAAAAATGCCTCTTTGATAAGTAGCTTTGGCATCTTCATTGCTTGACTTTACAAATTCAGTTTAGCAGATGTGAATATTTAAATTTGATGTAGCCTTTACATTTATATAATGGTGCAGAACTTACAAAGTTCATTTATACATATTATCTTACTTTATCTTTTCTAAGACTAAAGTAGAGAGGGGCCGGGCGTGGTGGTTCACACCTGTAATCCTAGCACCCTGGGAGGCCGAGACGGGCGGATTGCTTGAGGTCAGGAGTTCGAAACCAGCCTGAGCAAGAGTGAGACCTCGTCTCTACTATAAATAGAAAGAAATTAATTGGCCAAATAAAATATAGAAGAAATTATCCAGGCATGATGGCGCATGCCTGTAGTTCCAGCTACTTGGGAGGCTGAGGCAGTAGGATTGCTTGAGCCCAGGAGTTTGAGGTTGCTGTGAGCTAGGCTGATGCCACGGCACTCACTCTAGCCTGGGCAACAAAGCAAGACTCTGTCTCAAAAAGAAAAAAAAAAAAAAAAGAATAAAGTAGAGAGGCAAATAATGAAAATAAGTGTCTCAGATATTTCATGGTTAAGCAAATTCACACCACTTGTGGAGCCCAGGGCTTCTAACAGGTCATAAAACAATCTGTTGTACAATACTACCTCCTATGCATTGCATATTAAATACATCTCTAACTTTTTGTTGTTATAATCTTCTATGTGGTGTTAGGTTATTAGAGAAGAAAAAAGATAAATATTTTCTCTGCCATCATAGTTGTGGTGGAAATGAAGCTGAATATTTATTATAGGGGTTCAGAACTTGTCCCTTGACTAGTCCTTTGATTAGACTGTTAGTTAAGGGAAATTACATTATCTAGTTGTAATGGTTTTACATTAAATAGTTAATCTCCATGGGACCATATTCTTCTTAGATTGCTTTATGAATTTCTAAATCATATAAATGTTCACGTGGAATAATATTTAGCTATATTTCATATAAAAGATGTAGACATCTTGGAAGTTTATTTTAGTCATCTCTGTTCACTTAAAGCTGGAATGTGCAGAATGCAAGCTTCATAAAATCAGCTATTTGGCCTGCATTATTCATTATCCTCAGTGCCTAGAAAAGTGTCTGGCACACAGACAGTAGGTTCTCAAGAAATGCATTTAATGAATTTTTTATTAAGAAACAGAGTTGTTATTCATACAACCCTTTCTCCTTACCCTAAGGAACATGGTTCTTAATATTTTATGGTATTTTTATATCCACTTTCACTTAGTCCATAGGATGGAGTGTTAAGCTATAAAAATATAGATGTCTTTTTGTTGTTTCTTTAACTGAAATCTGGTTTTGACTGATTGTAAATGTTAATAGGAATGTTAAAAGGAATCTAAAGCATGTTTCCAGGAAAGAAAGTGATTTTCCAAATTTTCTGCTCTTTCTTAACTTAAAAAGAAAAAAGTAAGACTGAAGATAAAATAGTATGTACCTTTTTATAAGGAGAGGCTACAAAGTTGACCTTTTGCTGAAATAGTGAAAAATAAATGTAGCTTAATTGCAAAAATCATTCCAGGCAAATTGAAATCTACTTCTATCTCCTTTTAGACACATTTCTTCTTATGAGAAAAAATTTAGTGCTATGGTATATGGTCATTTCAGTAATTTGACATGGAAAGAAAGAAACTTTTTCATTTACAACTATAGTTATTTATTGATTTTCCTTTCCTTAGAGTTAATCAGAAAAATGATTATTGTTGATTTATTTTTTTTTTAATCTTTTGAAAAATTTTACTTTTTCTGTATGATTTTTCTTTTCAGGGATTGAATTAAATGATTTAATTTCCCCAAAACACATAAACAAACTTGTTTGTAGTCAGAATACATACAGTTTTACTGTTTAGGAAACTTCACTGTTGTGCACGTTTTCCCCTTTGGTTCATACAACTCGTGGCTTTTCTTTTCTTTTCTTTTTAATTTTTTTCATTCATATTGCCTCTTATTATATCCATCATTCCATTTTTCTTTCCTATTAGAGTGAAATTGGACACAGCCCTCCTCCTGCCTACACCCCCATGTCAGGAGTAAGTATTTCACAATCAACCTTCATCTTTTAGGATGTTTGGTCTTTACTTACCATGTTTCTTCTCTCTTGTCTCCACATAATTTTTTCATTTTGCCTTTGCCAACAGTGAGTTAAGAATTTGCTGTAGATTGTGTAGCTGGCTTTGTAGATGTGTTTTTATCTCAGTAGATTATCCAAAGTTCAGATATCATGCATCAACAGTAGCTTTCAATTTTTATCTGAAGGATTTGCGTGGGCTCATAAATTACATTTCTTGGTGGAGGAAGGTTATCTTTACTTCCATGATTATAGGTTATGTACTAAAAAGTCTGAATTTCAGTGATGATTCTCTATTAAGTACTCAAAAACTCATAGTAATCCCAGAATAGAAGATAATGTGAAAATAGCACCATTCAAAATATTATATATCAATGTACTTCTATTCTTAAAGACAACTGTCTACAGTGAGTGACACTGCTGCCATTTGTCATAAGAATTCACTTTGAATTTTATATTAAAAATAGATAGTTGTGGGAAAAGGACATCAAATACTTTTTATTAGGTTATGTTTTAGTTAGCAAAATTAAAATAAATGCTTTCAAATTATTTTCCCACAATTTACTTTTTAAGAAAAATTGAAATTTTAGGTGTTTCTAGTCTGAAATTCAAATTCATTAGCCACTAGAGAAAAAAATTAATAAATACTATGACTATTCACTGAAAGACTAGCTTTGATATCCTTTTAGTTATGAGAATTCATTTTTTTTACAACTATTCCTAACAACAGCTTCTCTCCAAATGTGTTTCTGCTATTAACAGAACCAGTTCGTATACCGAGATGGGGGTTTTGCTGCAGAACAAGGAGTGCCCGTGCCCTACAGAGCCACCACCAGCACCATCCCAGAAGCCCCAGTTGCTCAGGGTGCTACAGCTGAGATTTTTGATGACTCCTGCTGTAATGGCACCCTACGCAAGCCAGTGGCACCCCGTGTCCAAGAGGACAGCAGCACCCAGAGGTACAGTGCTGACCCCACAGTGTTTGCCCCAGAACGGAGCCCACGAGGAGAGCTGGATGAAGAAGGCTATATGACTCCTATGCGAGACAAACCCAAACAAGGTATGCACTGAATATTCAGAAATGTTTGCCAATTGATGTCCACTTCCGTTAAGATAAACAAAGTATAGAATAGAAATTGCTGAACAGCTGCACTGTATAACATTTGTGACCCAGAAAAGGCCTAGGCTATAGCTACTCATAGTATGTCCCCCAAATCAGCAGCATCAACCTTATTTAGCTATTTTTTAGAAATCAGAATCTCAGGCCCTACCTGCTTAGGAATCTGGATTTTAACAAGATGCCCACGTCATCTGTATACACAATCAAGCTTGAAAAGCGTAACGTAAACGTATCTTTATTGGAATATTTGAATGAAGTAGCATATTATAAGATATCAGAACCATCGCTTTATTGGACTTTTAGTCTTCAAAACTTAACATTTGACCTTGTATATACTTCGAAGCCTACCACCAAGTCTTGAAAATAATTGTTTGTGGTTTTACAAAGTACAACAACGATTTTGTATAGTAGCAGAAATGTTAAACACTCAAATCAAATAATGTTTCAATTTTGGAAAAAAAGGCCTTTTCCTTCTAAGCTAACAGCATCACAAAACAGAGAAGATGGATGATTGTTATTAAAAAATGATGATCATGTCTCTCAGAGTCTTCAGTGTCAACAGCAAACTATATTTTAAGACTGTGTGGCCGGGCACGGTGGCTCACGCCTGTAATCCTAGCACTCTGGGAGGCCGAGGCGGGCAGATTGCTCGAGGTCAGGAGTTCGAAACCAGCCTGAGCAAGAGCGAGACCCCCGTCTCTACTATAAATAGAAAAAAATTAATTGGCCAACTAATATATAGAAAAAATTAGCTGGGCATGGTGGCGCATGCCTGTAGTCCCAGCTACTTGGGAGGCTGAGTCAGCAGGATCGCTTGAGCCCAGGAGTTTGAGGTTGCTATAAGCTAGGCTGATACTACAACACTCATTCTAGCCTGAGGAAGAAAGCGAGACTTTGTCAAAAAAAAAAAAAAAAAAAAAAAAAAAAAAAAAGACTGTGCATTAAAGCCTGTTATGTCTTTTTCTATATCATTATTTTCATTCCCATAAAATACAATTTAGAGATCTCTTAATACATATTGTAAGTAACCTACTAAAATATCTGTCTAGACACATAGAGATATAAATAAATATATACTTATGTAGAAAAGTTTTAATGGAATGAAGAGTTGGATGTCTATAGTAGCCCAGTAGTGACACAGACGCAGATTTTGTGAAGATTTGGCAAATTCTGCCCAAAGTGGAATCTTCTCTGGAAAGATTGTCAACTCAACCATAAAGTTACTCCTCCACATATAACTTCACAGCCATACAAGTTGGCATCAGGACAATAAATAAGTAGATTGCATGGAGAAAAGGTAATATAAGGCTTCCAAGAGAAGAACAAGTCAGTTTATACAGTCTTGTAGTATTCTAGTATTTTTATCTCTGAATAGGGAGATCCATTTCTATGGAAGGTTGTTATAGTCTAATTCTGCCTTTCTTATAAGTTCTTTCATATATTTTTCAAGTTAGAGCTTGTCACTAATAGTAAAGTTGACCCTACTCCAAAGGAACAATAATAAAAATAGTGCAGTAGAACAAGAAGATTATGCAGTAGGAGTTAGAAGACTTGAATTCTAGTCTAATACAAATTGTATCCTGCATACATCATTTACTTTAATTTTTCTATTTATGAAGCTGGAAATATAAGGCTTGTGCTTCTTTTTTCACAGAATTATAAGAATGAAACGATAGTGTCTTTTAAATTATTGAACTGTAATTTATATATATGATAGGGGAATATTCACTACTTAATTATATCCAGTATACTTATATTCAGGGAAAAATAACCTTGGCTTTATGGAATTTTTCTTTCCGTGTCTTGGGCTAAGTATAGGGGTTAGAAAATGTGTTTCAGAATGGTGGCATCTCAGTAGAGAACTGTACTCTCTTTATGCACTGATTCTAAGCTAGCAATAGCTTAGGTTTTTTGTATATAGTAAAAGAGAGGCCAAAAAGAGAATCTATAATATATGTGTGTATATATACACGTATATATAGTCTATATTATAGACTTGGACATAGAATTAAGCATGTAGAGAGCAGCATTAACTATCAGCTTTACTTTTTTAAAATTTTAAGCCAATACCTCTACTAGATGGATTTATTAGAGTGGACCATATAAAATAGGCACTAGTTGGCTTCAATGTACAAAGTAGCTATTTCATATAGTTTACTATTTTGTGATTATGATGAAAATTACTGTTATGATTATACTTTGTTGTTAAGCAGAATCACATGTAATGTTAAGCAAATCAACTGGAGGCATATTATATATCTGTTAGTTTTTTTTATTTCTTTCTCATGTGTAAAGGCTTTCTGTAAAGCATCTCTATTAAATCCTTGTTACCTGTGTAGGCATTCATAGCAAACCAAACAGACTAAAAAAAACCCCAAAACGCTATTCCTTTACTTCATCTCTTCATCTTGGCATGGAAGAAGAAATTACTGATTTTTAGGAAACAAAAACATTTAAATAACTGGTCCAATCAATACACAGAAGAGGAAAATGCATTAGGAAGGAAAGAACAATCTAGGAGATAGGGATTCTGATCCTGGCCTTGTTGGTGCCTTATTTTATCATTAAAATTTTTGGTCCACTTACTTTTTTATTCATACGGCAATTGTAATCCACAAGTAATTGTGGAGAATTTATGCAAACAAATCTGTGGCTTTCTTGCTCTAGACAAAGAAGCTAACTATTGTATATAACTTGAGTCTGATTAACATTTTGTAGAAAGTGGATGTTGGCTGACCCTTTTGTATTCCTTCAGAATACCTAAATCCTGTGGAGGAGAACCCTTTCGTTTCTCGGAGAAAAAATGGAGACCTTCAAGCTTTGGATAATCCCGAATATCACAATGCTTCCAATGGTCCTCCCAAGGCAGAGGATGAGTATGTGAACGAGCCACTGTACCTCAACACCTTTGCCAACGCCTTGGGAAACGCCGAGTACCTGAAGAACAACGTACTGTCTGTGCCGGAGAAGGCCAAGAAAGCGTTTGACAACCCTGACTACTGGAATCACAGCCTGCCACCTCGGAGCACCCTTCAGCACCCAGACTACCTGCAGGAGTACAGCACAAAATATTTTTATAAACAGAATGGACGGATCCGGCCCATTGTGGCAGAGAATCCTGAATACCTCTCTGAGTTCTCGCTGAAGCCAGGCACTGTGCTGCCTCCTCCACCCTACAGACACCGGAATACTGTGGTGTAAGCTCAGCTGTGGTTTTAAGGCGGAGAGACATGCCCGCTCCAATTTCCCCACCCCCTCTCTTTCTCTGGTGGTCTTCCTTCTACCCCCAAGGCCAGTAGTTTTGACACTTCCAGGAGGAAGATATAGAGATGCAATGACAGTTATGTGCTTATCTAACTTGAACATTAGAAGGAAAGACTGAAAGAGAAAGACAGGAGGAACCACATTGTTTCTTCATTTCTCTGCATAGGGTGGTCGACCAAGGAGAATGGAATAGCTAGAGAAGGACCAGAAAATATAAGGCAATACTACCTGCTGTCAAACTAGTTCTCACCTTTTCTTTTTTCGTTCTTTCTTTGATTGTTTATTCCCCTTCTTCTTCTTCTTCTTCTTTTTTTAAATGCACATGGTTGAAACACCCATGCTATCTGTTCCTATCTGCGGGAACTGACGTGTCCATATTCAGCATCCCTGGAAATCATAATAAAACTTCCACTAGAACAAAAGAATAACCATCTGAGATTGAGAATCCAGTTTCTTTCCCCAACAGATTCTATCTTTGCAAGTAAGAATGGGCAACCCAGCTCCCATAAATTTTAAAGTTATAACCGCTAATTATGTTTGGAATGCTTTTTTATTTTTTCATTTTGTTTTGCTTTGACCAGTTCTTTATATTAGTGTCTCCCTTATTTTTGACTTTAATTTTTAATTGCAAAATGTTTATATCAAAGCTTCTTGACAGAATTTAAACAAGAAATATTTTAATATGGTGAAATGGCCACTATTTTAAATATACAGTCTTTAAAATTAGAAGGGGAGGCCAAGATATTAGTCAAATACAACGTCAAGTCTAGCTTTCATGTTTCACACTATTAAATATATCCTCTCTCTTTTTTTACATTCATCAATATTTTCTTCTCCTCTATAAATGACAGTACTTGACAGGCAGTTGGTAATCTTAAGAGTAAAAGGGAAACTGAGGGACAGTTCTCTGTGGTTCAAGGAAACTACTGATACTTTCAGAGGTGGTACAAGTGGGGAATCCATTGAACTGGAAGAAACACACTGGACTGGGTATGTGTACCTGACAGATACTCAGAAATGTAGTTTGCACTTAAGCTGTAATATTTTTTGGTTCATTTTCTGAACTTCATTTTGGATTTTGAATGAAGCAATATGGAAGCAACCAGCAAATTAACTAATTTAAGTACTTTTTAAAAAAAGAGCTCAGATAAAGACTGGAAATGCCAAACCAAGCAAATTAGGAGCCTGGAATGGTATCCAGGGAGATGGCGAGAGGCTGGCACATTATCTACATATGATATCACATTTGCTACACAAGGCAATTTGTTCAGTTTGTATACTCCATAAGAAGGAATACAAGTAAGAATTGGCTTGAATTCTATGGAATTTCTAGTATGAGACTCTATTTATATTAAGTAGAAGGTAACTCTTTGCACATAAATTGGTATAATAAAAAGAAAAATATAAACATTCAAGGATTATGGATAGGTCCTTGGGTCAAAAGTTGTAAATAAATGTGAAAAATCTTCTCATGCAATTATTTTATTATCCAACTTACTAATCTTTTGATACTTCATATAATAGCTCCTTTCCTCACACAGAACATCCTACTTCTAGAAACATCTTTACTATGTATCATTTTGAAAGAATACCTACTGAGTTAAGATAAGTAATGGGAACAAATGACTGGGTTGAGTCTCCAGGAAAAGGAGGCTTCATATCAATAACAAGGAAAATTGGATTTAAGTCTTTTTTTTCTAGGAATTCCTGCCCCAAGTCATTTATATATTTTTAAAAATATTTTTTTCTAATGTTAAAATACTGGGACCAAATTAGTCAATTGTAAAAATGAAAGCAATCAAATTAAGAATCTCTATTGGCAAAGCAGAGAGAGTTTAGAAGAAAAAATAACTCCTAAATCTATGTTTCTGCCTGTTTTGATAAAGTAAACCATCTATCCATCCAAACCTCATTTATTCAACTAATATTTATTTAGAGTATACTAAAAGCACTGCATTGTATGGGTAACACCTAAATAAAAGGAACATTTTTCCTCACTTCAGAATTTGACAGTCTAGATTTAATTGGAATGACATTTTAATTTCTCCATGAGTTCAAATAATCAGATTGCATAGACTGTTTTGTGAGTAGCTATCATATAATCTGTTGTTTAGTAAGAGATCTCCTGTGAACTCATTAAGGACATGAATTAAACATCCTTCAAAATATTGAAGTTGACAAATATGATAGTTTCAATGTTATCATCAAAATATAAACTGGTCTAGAAGGATATTGTATCACCAACTAATTAGCTTATCTAGAGTCTAACTTCACCATTAAATCTGTAGCCGATGGTGGTCTTTGGCCAAGAACCTTGGAGGTATTTGGGTATTTTTGTTTTTGTTTTTTTCCAGCTATGAGGAGAAAGGCAAGATGACTATGGTAGAGCAGGAGAGGGGTTTGTGAGATCCCTTCTAGTGAAGTTCAACCACAGACTTCCCAGGGTTAAAAACACAGAATGATTCAGGGGCCACAACCTAATAGCTCAGAGCTCTTTTACCCACTCAGAAAAGTCTCCAGGAAAAGAGACCTCATCTCAGTACTTATGAAAAATTGAATATAAGCCTCCCTTTCTAGATAAGTACACACTGAGGCATCACTGATAGCCCCCTTTTGGATACTATACCTTGACTTCTTTTTTTTTTTCTGATTTACAATATTCATGTGGTTTGTACTGGGATATGGAAAACATAATCATTTATTTTGGAGCAAAGAAGAAAAAATAACTTTTAACTGTCAATGTAACAGAAATACATTTAGAGAATATAGTCTCCTTCCTCTTAAGAACATAAGACTCTTACATGTCAAGTAATCTCCCACTTTTGCAAGTATAATCCAAAATGACCCAAAATACTTCACAATAGCACCATTGCATCATTCCTTGTGAATGATTTCTGTAGTATATACTTGATTTCAGTAGTTTGGGATTTTTTGTTTGTTTGTTTTATTTTTGTCCCCTTAAGAAAACATATTTCAGTGTGTTTAAGAGGGAAGGAAAAAAAAGAGTTTCATTTGTTGCAGAGAATATCTTATTTAACCCAGTAGAGTACAATTTTAAAAATGCCAATTAAAGCCTTCAAAGTGCTTTGGAATATCAGATTCCAGAGGCCAGTTCTGTCCATGGAAATAAGCAGAATCAATTATGTAAATTTGAGAAAATTAAAATTACACTGACTATATTTTTTAAACCACCCAATTAGGTGCATCTTACCTTGACGAATCCTATTTTCAAGCGTGGAAAAACTCTGTAGCTAAAGGTTGTTTAAAGAAGTAGTCCGTAAATAGGTGAGATGTCCTCTCAACTAGGGTAGGTCTAGAACCCCAAATCATCTGTACCACAAAGAGGACAACCCAGCATCTCTTGATTTTCTGAATTATATTAGTAGTACAGGTTAGGATGACAGTCCTTTCTTCAGTAATATTCTTAAAATAACATTAAAAAACAATGCAAAATTCGAATCCTATTAAAACACACAAACTAAAAACAAGAGATTGTAGATTGGGAAGAATGACTGAATATCTGTAACTTGAGAGAAAAAAATAGTGTTCTTCTAGGTGTTATAATGTGTGTGCTGATACCTTCTGAAGGAAGGACATGGCATGAAGATTACACACATTTCCATGCTAAGGAAAAATCACTACCAGGAATGTGAGGTTTGGTGCTAGATGAAGTTGGAGCAACGATCAATGTGCTTCTTGAAGTGGCAAAAATGAAAAGACAATTAAAATTGTTTAAGTCTGACAGGGAAGGATGTAAATATAAGTTTCTCTAGAGCTACCTAACTTTTATTTCACAACTTGGATTATTCATCCATCTGTAATTGTTGATTATTTAACTAGTATATGTAGTTCATAAGGTAATAGAAAAGGTGTTCATGAAAGCATGTATATAACTGGACAGAACCGTGATAATACTATAAGATGTAGATTTAGTTAGGTTATCAAATGTTAACTGATTTTAATATTATTAAATAAATCAAACTAGAAAGCTAACCACAAGTATAATATAACAAAATGAAATGCAGGATGTGAAAACGTAGGATGGATTTTGCATAGCGAAAAAATAGGTTTGCCATTTACGATTGTTGTCATTGAGTTTAGCTGAAAGTAGGCATATACGATTCTGCTTGTGAAAACTTACTTTAAACCATTACAATTAATTTTTTCCCCATTCTCTTGTTCCTTTATCACTTTTTAAATGTATTAAATGTAAAGGGAATTTTTTTGAGTTTGTTTTGCAAACACCACCTTGTAGAATTTAGCAGGCAAATATGTTACATATGACTTTAAGTAAGCTGTCTTCAAAATGAAGTAAAGGAAGCGTAAATGTTCTATTACCTTATGCAGAGACAAAAAAAAATGAGTGGTGTCATTAAGTAAACAAACAAAATACATTTAATTTGTGATATGTCCTTTCTTTTCCCACAATGCCCTCTTGCCTCCAAAAACAAGGAATAACAATAAAAACAAGGAATAACAACAAGGAATAACAATTTTCTGATAAATAAATGCTAAACCAAGAATTTCAAACTACTGTATTACCATTCTTTTGGACTCTAGTTTGTAGACTGATGATTTATGATGGGGCAAATGAGAAATCCAGGTATTCAGGTTTCTAGCTGTTGAAAAGCCAGGTAAACTAGCTTCTGCTCTACGTGCTCTGGACAAAGGGGATCCGCTGTGCCTCTTTTTGTATACATGAACTTTGATGTGTGTCCATTTGGGGGACAGCCTTGTACCCATGCAGGCATATAAAAGCAGATTGGTGTCTCTTGGTTGCCACCTGCTTAAGGACAAATGACATCATACAGGTGTAGATCAGGTATAATTTTTAAAGATCATTATCATAATGATCTTTATTATTACTGATACTACAGGGGGGCCAGCTTTTATATTTCTGGATAGGATGAATATAATTGTTCTGATCCCAGAGATCTTTGCAAGAGGAGTTCTCTCCGTAGTTGCAAACATGAAACTGTTGTGGGCATTGTGTTAGGCCGAGGGACCCTTGTGTTATGGGCAAATATTTTTTAGCACTGTGGGCTGCTTTGTTCTTTTCATTAAAAGTCTCTCTAAAACAGAAATTTCAGACACTCCATTCAAATCCTACCAAAAAATGTGGGATATGTCACTTTTGCAGACCCCTGCCTCATATCATTCCCAGCCAGGTGATATTTTGGGCAGAAGAAAATGCTTCTATAGTCACAAGCTAAAAAGACTCTAAGCTCCAATTTCATGGGGGTATTCACATGCTTTCCCTGGAAAATACTCTTTGACAGTCAGCTTTGCAAGTAAGTGATTACCTTGTTAGGAATCACAGAAAAATTCATCTCTCTCTGACCTTTAGAGAGAAATAGCACCATTCCTTTTTTCATCTTTGACAAAACTGCCCCTGTTCTCTTCACTTTCTACCACCCTAGTTCAAAGTAGCCCTTTCTTAAGCCATAGTGGATCTTTGAGGTCTCACACCCTGATTTGTGAAATACTGACTTGGCCTTTGTCCTCAAATGCCTGATTTTTTCATAAAAGATCCTAGCAATTTGGACATTGTTTCAAATCTTTATCTAATAAATCACTGCGCAGAGAATAATTTCTGATATTAAAATTGTTTTTCCATGAAGATAAATTCTCTTTGTCCATCTCTATAAGAATTTGAGACAAGCTAGCCCTGTGATGAATATTGAAACTCACATATGTGCACATACCCTTGGTAGATCTCAGATTTAATCTTTCCATAAAAACTCTACATACAAGTGAGAAGTTATTTTTGTCAGCAAACTAATTTATTTGCTTTATTCATCTTATTTTATTCCTGATAGAAAATATTTTATAGCTGCTGTATTTTTTTTTCTAAATGAGGAGTCTTATTATCACAAAGGTAAAGGCTGTTCAGCTTTGAGAACCACCTGGAATTCTTTTTTGGATCACTCGTCCATCTAACAAATATATAATGAGTGCAGTTTCACTTTAATGAACATTCATGTTGTCTAATAGAATGCCATTCTTTCTCTACTTTTGCTCTTTAAGGGCATTTTTCTTTCAATGCTCTAGTGAGCATTCCCCATATCATGAGAAGTGGTTATATTTGTACAAATATACAAATATAGGAAAACAAAGTTTCATCCCTGTAGGCAATAGTCTAACTTGTCCAAACCACTTTGCCTTTACTGCTATTTTTATCCTTAATGTGTAGATGTTTCCCCCAGGCCTGTAGTCCTTTTGAAGGAAATCAAATCATACCTCCTATATATATATTGACATAAACCTGGTTTTCAAGTATCATTTCCAGATTTTTCAGTTAATGGGGGGCTATATCTTTTCCCTTAACATGAGAGTCATTTTCCTGTATATTTCTGGATCTCTCAGGGGCTGGGAGGGGGGAGTGAGGGGATTACAACCATAGCACTCCAAGAACCCTTTTGGGATTACTCCAGTAATCAATTATGGAAGTTATTTTCTAAATGTAGATATGTAAGCTGTTCTTTTAAAGTAAGGTACTTTGAAATATGTAGCATAAACTGGTACTGCTGTTAAATGGGTCGATTATTAAACTGAGCAGCTGTGTGAGGGCAGCTAACTTTGAATGCACATCCCACTGGCTGATGTGTCTACTTCTCATGTTGGAAGCACCAGAGATTGTATTGCTGCATGTTGAAACTGCATTTTCACATGGTATGACTAGTTCATCTCTTTCTTGAGCACCATTGTAACAAGATCAAATGAAAATGAGATCAACATGCAAGACAATTCATAGCACAAAAAAAGTCATGTTAAATCTTCTCTTAAGCACTCATCTCATACATCAAAGTAGTTTAGCAATATCAGTTTTGGTGAGAAAGGGAGACACTTTACTGAAAAGGCAGAGGCTTAAGGTATTATAAACCTTTGTATCCATTTCCTTATTTTCCTAACTCATAAACAGAAAACAAGCCCTCTCTCTTGTGAAGTATCTTCAAAGGACAGGGGTGCAAAAATACCTTGCTGGTAAGCCATCAATGTTTCATTTAAATCCAAGCATTCAAAGTTAGCTGCCTTCTTGAAATAAACAAACAAAAAATACTACTGTATGTTTGAAAATGTGAATAGTATTTTTATAGCTTGTTAAAGACATGGCTAGTTGCATTTGTAAATAAGGATAATGTTGCTTTGATTTTCTTTTGTGGACATCTTTATTTGGAACATAATTGTCTTTAGGGTTGATTTGTATATAAGTAATTGGCTTGTGATTATTTCTTTTTTGGTTGGAAGTTATCATTTTGACATTACTTGTGATTCTGTGTTCAGCACTATTGTGACGTGTTCAACCTCTGCACTCGCTTACACAATAGGATATGCCAATTGTGTGTGGTGTGATGTTATTTTAATTTTTTTCTATTTTATCTATGAAGGATTATGCACTTAACACATACTAACTTTTTTAATGTTAGGTATATTTTTAGTATAATTTCCCTTATTCTTCCTTCTCCTCCGATCCTGTACCCATTCTCCCATTCTCATTCCTTTCCCCAATTTATGTTATTCTTTGAGAATGAGGGAGAAACAGTATTTTAAATTTCTGTAATTAGGCTTTTCAGTTAGTTCTCAAGGATCCTCTTTTGGCTCTTGGGAAAGAATTGTACCTGTACAAGGCAATTATAGAATGCGAACTGCTTTGCCTCATTCCACACTGATCATCCCAGCTGAACAATTTGAAAACTGTTCTGCCTTTTTGTTACATGAATCTGTCAGAAATATATTTTTAATTTAATATAAATGAAATTCAATAAAATATGAAACAAATGTTCTCTTCTGTGTCAGAAATTTGTTATAAGAAAAACCAATTGGGGAAGAGGAAGAATTTGTTTTCAGGGTTTAATAATCTGAAGATGTAAAAATGGGCTTATTTTTGTTCATATTTATGAATATCATTAATTATTCCTCAGAACTCTTTGATTGTTTGGAATGTGATACATTCCATATGTTCTTACCACCCAGCTCATATGCCTAGTGATGTGTACAGACTTACTCATCTGTGCAGACTATGCTTAATTAACAGTGGTTGGTTGGTTTCTTTGGGAATAAAACAAATTCTAAAATATTTTGTAGGTAGTTTCAAATAACATTAATATTTTTATAACTTTTTTCTTTCTGCCCTCATTGCAGCTTGCCAAATGGCTCCTGGCAAGTCTTTTGTTATAAAAAATATCAAGTGTTTGTGCTATGCTTCCCATGGGGGAGTGGGAATGAGGCCTTAAATAGTCAATCAACTGACTAATGACTTAAGACAAGTCCACTTAACAGCATGAGAGTGATTTCAGGGACATTGATGCCATGAGCAAGATCCTCTCTCAAAATTTTCTTATTATAAATTTTCTATTTTAAGTATTATTACCCCATTCATACATCCAAAGTGTAAGAATTTTAAGATTCCAATAACTTCTCATTGGAGATTCTATTATTATTTCAAACTACTGTGTTTATTTGATTACATATGATGTCAACTGAGTCAGTGGACAAAAACCATATTTTCAGCCAGGCATGGTGGCTCACACTTGTAATCCTAGCACTCTGGGAGGCCGAGGTGGGAGGATCATTTGAGCTCAGGAGTTTGAGACCAGCCTGAGCAAGGGCGAGACCCTGTCTCTACTAAAAATAGAAAGAAATTAGCTGGACAACTAAAAAATATAATATATATATAGAAAAAATTAGCCAGGCATGGTGGCACACGCCTGTAGTCCCAGCTACTTGGGAGGCTGAGGCAGGAGAGTCGCTTGAGCCTAGGAGTTTGAGGTTGGTGTGAGCTAGGCTGACGCCACAGCACTCTAGCCTGGGCAACAGAGTGAGACTCTGTCTCAAACAAAACAAAACAAAACAACAAAAAACATATTTTCAACATGGTATATTGGAGTAAATTCTCTTAAATTTTTCCAGTTATGGGACTTTAAAGGTCTGGTTATTAACACCTCCTGCTATTTTCATGGACATGCACACTTACCCTCCCTTGGCTATTTTAACCCTTTCATCTCAAATCATTGTCATTTTGTAGTATTTAGAGTGAGATATATCAGGGCACTATGCATTTTAAACAAGTGATGGAATGAGGAAGAGGAGAAACAACTTGTGTTCCTAATGCTGTAAGTAAGGTACAGCTGAAATTTCCAGTGGCACCATGCTAGCTCATAGCAGTTATAGTACCTGCTAATTACGTAGTGCATTACAATGCATAAACTTACTCTGCATATGCTGGTTCATTTGGTTCACGACACCATTTTGAGCTAAGTATTATTGGAATAGTCCTGGTCGTCCATATAAGGAAAATAAAATTAAAATAACAAATCGAGCTAGAGTCATGCAACCATCGCTAAGTGGTAGTACTCACCCTCAAAGCTGCATCTTTTAAGTGTCTTTCTTTACTTAGCCAACCACTCCTCTTTCTCCCTCTGCTATTAAATAAGAACCTCATTCTGATGCGAGCATACCTAAAGCTGACACACTGACCCAGTTCGAGACTACCAGTGGTCTTCATTAGACCCTTGACAACTTGTCTTCTGATACAACTAAAAACTTCACATTCTCAAACTACCTGGAAGCAACTTATCTATAATGCAGAATCAGGTTCCTTTCATTCAAGAAAGATAAATGCAACATAATCAAAAGCAAAAAGATACCAAAAAAAAAAAAATCAGCCTAATGATTGTATGCCTTTCCCAGGGTGTTATAAATCTGCTTGGTAAAGACATCATTGTCCCCAATATATATCAGAGAATATTGCAGGTAACTACACCTACCTCTAGCAATGTTATTACATACATTAATGTTAATAGAGGTGAAACTTCACATAAAGTATCTAATTTATAAATAACTTAATAGATTTTCTAGGGTTTACTACAGGCTAAATGGTCACTGGAAACTTCTTCTGAAACATAGCAAAGAATCTGATCCTGATCCAAGGTCAAAACTTCATTTAAAATAATGATGATGACAGAGAAAAAATTGACGGAGAAGCTATGAGGTAGATAAATGAGGTATATAAGAGGTTAGAGGCTAAAATGAACATCAAAATTCAGATTTTAGCTACTCTAAGGTCCTGAATTAACAATTGTTTAACTTTAAAAACACTCTGGGGAAACACAAATCCACATACATGCATATACATACAGAATATATAAAGAAAGATGTAAAATATTTAAAGATGTATTTACATATTGCGGAATGTCACACAAAATCTCTATTTTTTAAGCACTTTACCACAAGACCCATTATGTATATCATCCTATAAGTTATACTCATAAAACTGTAAACAGAGCAGGTGCATAGTTAGCTAATTGTATTTCCCTCCACAGTATTATAAAGCTGCATGATAAACCATGGGGAGTGAAGACACTAGACAACCATCTTAAGATTAGAAACAGAAGACTGTCACCCAGATAGCAATTTTAAAGCTATAAACAGAACAATTCACCACAAGATAGCAATCAGGAGACTGTAAATCAAATGGTACACAGGAGATATGTGAATGAATATTGGAATAGTTGCTCTTGCAAGTTACCCAGAGGTTTTTAAAAGACAAATACCCATCTTGCAAAATATTTGACCTGTTTCTAATTACTTATCTGTTCAAGATAAGTAGAGAGATCTAAAAAAATGATATAATCAAATATTTCTGCCTCTTTAAGAAACAGAAAAAACAAGCTTCTAAACATTAAAAACATATCCTATTAGTGGCCAAGTCATTCTTATTGCAAGAGGCATATGCATGTCACATAATATCCTGATCGAATCTTAATATCTCATTTGAGTTATCTTAAACATCATCTCTTTATATCATCCTTTTCCATGGATTTAGGGATTTATGGAATCATCCTGCCGTCACTTATTAGCATGAAACTATTATATGTGTAGATTTCCAGCCATCACAATAATAAAAATGTTAAAATAACAGACATTGATTGGATGTTTTCCATATGTTGACCCTCTGTTAAGAATTTTATATGAACTGTCTCATTTAATATTCATCACAACCTTATTAGTTAGGCACTTTTATTTTCCTTTTTTCATAAATGAGAAAAATAACATTTTAGAAACATTAAAAAACTTGTCCAAAGTCACATAAAAGGTAGCAGAGCTGGGACACAAATCCACTTTGCATCAAAATACTTTATTATTTATGCTATATTACAATTACCATATAATATCAGTAATTATATAGCAGTTGTAATTTTCCCCCTCACCCATTTAGATTCAGACATGCAATAAATGTAATTTTATTTTATTTTTTTCTATAACAAAATTGAGTGTCTTTCCCAAATTTCCAGTTTATCCAGAGGTGGAAAATGTGAACTTAGCAATTAAGGATTTTTCAGAATCCTTTTAGAATATATTCAGCCAATTAAGGGTTTTTCCTCATCAATTCCTCTCAGAGGTGGCATCTAAGTTCTGGGGCCTATATTATTAAGGATGCACAAGGTTCTGTAGTGATGATAAATTAACCATGAAACATCATTCGCTTCTGTAAAAGCTTATTTCCACTGTGACTCAGACAGCTTCCTTCCAAATGATGCCTTAGGAGACTTCATCTCGTGGCTCATCTATCTCAACATATTATCTCCATGATCACCATAACAAGAAGAAGAATGTTGGAGGGTCAAATAGGGACTTTTCATTGCCACAGCCCAGAAGTGACACACCACTCCTGCTCATAGTCCATTGGTTGAAACTAGCCACCTGGCCCTGCCCAAGCTCAAGGGTTCTGTGGGAACATAGATATATTGAGAGAACATAAATTTGTCTGGTTGATGAAGAATTATGACAGCAAAGGGAAATGCCTAGTTCCTGGCTGAACCTGTTGATGGCATCTATTAGAATACATACTCTAGCTCTGTTTGATGCTAATATTCACTCGTTTACTCTATCTTCATTTTAGCTGTTCACATTTCATCTGGTACCTGGCCATTTGGTCTAATGCACATTCTACTCTCATGGGGCCTTGATGTGATCATGGTCTTGAGGTCCTTCTAAAAACCACTGGACCATTATAGAGGAAACAGTAAAATTGTCTTTCTCAAATGACTTCCCGGCTCTGAAAACTTGGTCCTGCTACCTGCAACTCCGCATCAACCCTGTTGCTCCCAATCCAAGGGTAGGTGAAACTCTGTGAATCTAATTTTCAGTATTCCAGCAGGAAGGGGTAATAGTTTCCATTTCCAAACTTAATCTACAGGAGGGTGCAGAAAAGAAATCATATATTCATAGACAACAGAATCTGTCATTTTCCTCTTCATCTTCATTCTTTCTCCACAGGCCAGAGGAGCTTTATTGATTGGAAAGTGGGATTGGAGGAGTAAGAGAAGTATTGAGAACAATGAGTTCAATCTAATCACAATTTGTCTAAGTAGTAAATTTAAAAGCCAAAATTGTATGGTTTTTCTTTTCTAGTTCTGCTCCCCATGGTGCCATCAAAGTCTCATATCTTATAGCCTGAAGAGGAATTCCTCATGGGTAAAAGACTTGTGGTGGGGCAGGGTTGGGGGGACCAACTCTGTACTAGGCAGTGTGCTAAGCAAGTTGCATGCTCTGCCGCATTCCAATGACGGTGGGGCACAATTAAATGCCCCAGGACAGGTGAAAGACCTCTTTATTACTTATGGATCTGAAGGAGAGAAGACTGACAGGCCCATATAGTAGGCTGCATCTGGGGAAAAGGTAACAGCAAGCTGGAATTGTAGGAGGCAGCTTATGTACAGCAAGTCAGGTAGAGTTAGCTAGGTTTCAAGGGACTTCCTGTCAATTGAGAATTTTGTATAA